AACCTCGGGGAAGGGAGGGAGGGAGGGGATGGTAGGGGGAAAACAATGGAGGAGCTAACAATGTTCAAGAGGAAGTGTACTCATTACCTCACTCATGTATCTGTAACCCTCTATATAGTATCTTTACAATAAAAAAAAAATCAGCGTATATGATAGATACCACTAGCAACAACAGGATTCTAACTAAGGGGATGGTTTGGAAATCAGACCACACACAGCTAATCAGCTTAGTATATCTCTCAAATTTTACTTAGAAACAAGGGTTACTCCTAACTCTGTCATTAGTATAAGAGTATACTATTACTACTACACAAGACAGCTTTTTTGCTCAAGACTAGCAAAAAGGGTAAAACTTATGATGAGGAAAAGGCAAAAAGTATTCAGGTCAAGGGACCTATATATATATATATATATATATATATATATATTAAATCATGGTGGATGTTTGCGGCCATGGCTGTAATCAGCAGCATAAAAATAGCAACAACCAAAATGGTGAAAAAGGGACTATTATATATTTGAGAAACAAGAAAAGAAAAATGATAGCAAGCACAGTATGGGTATTAGGCAAGAGATAAAGCTTAGTACAGCCACGTAAGGCTTTGTAAATCATGTTAAGGAGTTTAGATGTCACTGTAATGAATCACTACCCAATGACTATGACATTTTAAAGCAGGAGAATCAAGTGGTTTAAGTTTTATTTAAAAAATAACTAGAGCTAGGAATGATGATGCTTCTGAATCTCAGTACTTGGGAGACTAAGGCAGCAGGACTGAATATCAGATGAGCCTAGGGCTTCATAATGAGACTATGCCTAAAAAGAAAAACAAATAATTGCTATACTATGGTTAATACAGTAAGAACAAATGAAAAGCTGAAAGTTAAATTCAGGATATGCTTTTGTGGTATTATTAAAGAGATACTATAAAAGAGTAATGGCAGTGAATTTAGAGAAAAGCGAATGAATTTGAGAAAGGCAGAATTATCACAACTAACTAGGTATCTCAGTTTAGGAAATGCAAAAAGAGAAGGAAATATTTTTGATGTTTTACTTTGTTGGTTTGATCAGATGATTGTGGGGCTTGTTCACTAAGATTCAGAAGACAGGAAGAGGAGAAAATTTCTTACAATGAGAAAGGGTAGGAGATGCTGAATTTTGGAAATGATGCTCAAAAGATCCTGAGACTGAAGGTATACAGAAGACATTTGGATATCTCTGTCTGAAGGTCAGGAAAAAAAATCCTGTAATCAATGACACTGATCTAGATAACTTTGTCAGACAGTAATTTATACAAGTTAATAATTTATACAATTTTTTTTTTAAAAAAAAGGGTAAAACTTATGATGAGGAAAAGGCAAAAGTATTTAGGTCAAGGGACCTATATATAGGATAAAATGAATTTAAATTTAAATGAATTAGAATTTTAATAATCCCTATTGCTAATAATTAATGAAACATCTTTCATACAGTATATGAATATGAAAATGCATATACATACAATTATCTGTGATAGAGCATTTATTAAATAAATTAACATGAGACATTCATTAGAGGACACAAAGAAACTGTCAAGTATCATTAGAGATAACTTTTTTAAAAATAAAAAATGTTTGATATTTATCAAACACAACTATAAAACCTACTTACCTCATCTACAATAACATGAGACACATTAGTTAGAAGACAATCTTCTTGAAGTTTCCTTAACAAAACTCCTGTTGTACAGTAGAG